GATAAAATAATAGCAGTAATAAAAATAAATATTTCCTAAAGTTTCCTGTGACATTTTCTGAGTGGTTTTGCAATATTACCATAATCCACTCACCACTCATAAGACACTTTGCCCAGAGTCAGCTTTCTTTAAGAGCCTTTGATTGGTAAAGTTTGAAATCTGAAGATTAAAATGATAGTGCTTTGAAAACCATGGCTCTGACTTCTGATTTAATGATGCACATTTCCCGATAAGTCTTTCCTTACATCTTTGAAGCATCATCAGGGTGGACAAACCAGGCCACCTGTTGGATGGACACTTTGTGCCTGCATGGAGCATACATCCACCCACACCAGCCTCCTCTATATAAAGCCCAAGCTAAGGTGCTGCTGTATATAAAGGGAATAAACAGATTTAAACTGTCCAAGGTGTTTGATACATGAGCAGCAGGCCTGAAAAGAGCTGTTAACAGGACAAACAAGCAGTCCCACTAGAAATTTTCATTAAGATATAGGTCACTGCTAGTTACTCCAATGCAAAAAAATGTACGAAAATATTTGAACTGTCATGTTATCAAAAGACATGAAATCATAATGAAAGGGACTGCTGTATATTAATTCAAGAGTAAATCGAAAACCATAATTATTTACAAATTGTAAATGTTCATATGTTTGTATTCATTCTCTACTGTGCAAATGTTTACCTACACCTATTCAATTATTTTTTTTCAGTTACTTTGAAGGATGGTCTTTTAAACTTCTTCATTTGAGAAACGGGGAACTGAAACTAGAGAATGCTCCATAGGAAGCCAGATCCTGGGATTAAGAATCAGAGTGTTCTCAATCCAGAATAAGGTTTTATAATTACTCTACAGGTGTGTGGGGCAGGAGGAACACATCATCTGCACTGTAAATGAATACATCCCATTGCATGTTCATGAAAACCATTCTAAAAACAACTTTAAATCATTTTCAGTCCAGTGTACTTTTAATTCATAAAAATATCATCATATTGTGATGCAAATATAGGCATATGTAATGTCTATATTAGCATAATAGTATCAATCCAGTAGTGTGATTCAGTATGTACATGAAATTATATATACTAAGTTCCTGGTTAAATATGAGTCACAATATTTTTGGCAAAGTGACACTTGCTGTGTTCAGACTAATGAATATCTAATGTTATCATAGCAGCAGTATTACTGAAACTATTTATCAAGCATTAAATTAATAAATATTTTACTATACATTCTTCACACAGATTTTAAAATAATTACATTTCCACATAAGTAGCAAAGTATAAACAAAAATAAAAACAAAAGAATTTCAAGTAAAGTTTTAAAAAGTCACTTCAGTGACCATATATTCATATCTGATGAACTACTTTTTAAAAGGTGTTGAACAAGTGTATTTATTTGAAGCATTTATTTTCTCCATGTCCAATTTTCACATAGAAAGAATCTAGTTTGAAGTTTTATATACCACACAATAACAGCATTTGGTAAATAAAAGTCTCATGGATAATTAGATGAATGCAAGTTTCATTCGACTCAATTTTTTTCTCCAAAATTTGCTCATTATTTTATTAAGACAAAATATAAGCTTTTCCTTTCTGAATAACTAAAATATGATAAGATATAAACATAACATGCAAAGGTTCTAAGTTCATTTACATTCTAAAAACTAATAATAAATAAATACCCTGTTTAAAATTTCATATGGTTTCATGAAAGCTCAAAACATAGAGCAGATTTGTAGAGAAATTTCTCACAGCTCCTTGTCACAGTCACTACAGATTTCATAGAAGAATTGTTTCCACATTGTTGTTCTTAATGTTTTAATACATTCTTCTAATTAATACTTGCAGTTACTTCATATTTTAAATGTTATGCTATAAAATCAGTCATTGGAAGTGGAGAGGTGGAAAAGGACAGAGGGAATGAACAAAGAAATCTACTAATGTTCTTTCATTTCACTTATTTATAAAACTAGAAAATTAACCTATGAAACTGTTAATGATTTCTGAAGTAAAATTCTGCAACAGTAGAAGTTATAGTACTTTTCTATGATATCCATGCATCCAATAAGTCAATATTTATCCATGTATATTTAATTAGTACATGATAATGTACAAAGAGCATATTGTCATTATATATTTCCACAATTCATTTATCACTTAATTAATCATAATATATTGGATGTAAATATTTGATATAAATATTTTATGTAGAGTCAAATGGATAAGAACACAGTAATGGAGAAAGTCAATAATGAATAATATTCCAAATACAGAACCTGAAAATGTCACTAGTGTGATGTGGGATGGTCTATATGTCAAATGTGTTGCTGATTGGTCAATGAATAAATCACTGATTGGCAGTGGCTAGGCAGGAAGTATAGGCGGGACTAAGAGAGGAGAAGAGAGAGGACAAGAAGCTGGGTGGGAGAGACACTGCCAGCCGCGATCAGGACAAGGAAGATGTAAAGTACCGGTAAGCCACAAGCCACGTGGCAAGGTATAGATTAATAGAAATGGATTAATTTAAGCTGTAAGAACAGTTAGCAAGAAGCCTGCCACGGCCATACAGTTTGTAACCAATATAAGTCTCTGTGTTTACTTGGTTGGGTCTGAGCGGCTTGGGACTGGCGGGTGAGAGAGATTTGTCCTGACTGTGGGCCAGGCAGGAAAACTCTAGCAACAAATGGCGTCCAACGTGGTGGCAAGAGTTTCCACCTAAAACCTGAGAAAAAAGATTCTAAAATGGAGCTAAAAACAGCTTCCTAATTGTCTCTCTCAAATGAGCGGCAGCTGCCGGTTTGAGCTACTGGCGGGTTCCTGGCGTGCGCGCTCGACCTGCCGCCATATGGCGGGAATGAGGCCTCTGCAAGTGGCACATTAAGCTACATTGTGGATTTAGCCTTTGCTAGTACAAAACAAAAAAAAAGAGGTTTCTGGGCTACACGCTGCTTGGATAAAAGCATAGACCCACGATGGCTCCCAGAGCTGGCGGTAAGCATACCGCCGCCATGTTGGGAAGCTGAGGTGGGCGGAGCCAGTAGCCACAGCACCAGCACCGTTTCAGGCTTAGAAGGCTGCAGCTTAAAACAATAGATTCACAATAAGACAGATTCAGATGTAATAGTTTAAAATGTATGTAAAATATACGTAGGCTTGAAAGAAAAAAAAAAGGTGATATATACAGTATAGAAACAAATACATGGTTTTAAAAAATAAAGTCTTTAAAGAGACAGTAAAAGTAATATAAAAAATAAGCCACGTAGAGATGACTATTACACAGAGAGTCTGGATTGTGTTGTCTTTGGGATTCTTAACTACAGAGAGATATTTGATTGTAAAGGAAGCTGAGTTAAACCAGTATGTATATTTTAAAGATACTTTGACTTCAAAATTTGGATGTAAGGATATGTTGCTTTGGAAAAGAGTCTCTTTTGTTTCCACAGAAAGCAAGAGGCTATGGATTTGTTCCAGATTAAGACACATCAGGTTTGACCAGCCAAGACCACCTGAAAGGTCTCCGATGACACCATGGCCCAGATGATCCAACATCCAGAACCGTTTCAAGGCAACTGGCTCAGATGATACAGCCTCACGGACTACTCCATGATCCTAAAATTTTCTTTGTTTCCCCAGAAGATACAGCACCCCCCTCCAGCAGGAAGTAGTAAGAGAAGCTACGCCCAAATTCCCAAATATACCAAGCTGACTTTGGAGATGTGTAAAGGTTAAAACCTTCCTTTTTAAGAAAAGAAAAGGGGAAGTGATGTGGGATGGTCTATATGTCAAATGTGTTGCTGATTGGTCAATGAATAAATCACTGATTGGCAGTGGCTAGGCAGGAAGTATAGGCGGGACTAAGAGAGGAGAAGAGAGAGGACAAGAAGCTGGGTGGGAGAGACACTGCCAGCCGCGATCAGGACAAGGAAGATGTAAAGTACCGGTAAGCCACAAGCCACGTGGCAAGGTATAGATTAATAGAAATGGATTAATTTAAGCTGTAAGAACAGTTAGCAAGAAGCCTGCCACGGCCATACAGTTTGTAACCAATATAAGTCTCTGTGTTTACTTGGTTGGGTCTGAGCGGCTTGGGACTGGCGGGTGAGAGAGATTTGTCCTGACTGTGGGCCAGGCAGGAAAACTCTAGCAACACTAGTGTTCATTGTATTTAATATTGCACCCCCAATGATTCATATAAATGTATATGCAGTGGTCTAGCTGAGACTCTCTGAGTTTACAACCTTTTTTTAAATGTACTATCTATATTTGTATACATACATGCATGTTAATAAATGGGCATGTGTAAACAAAATACATAAATCATATTATACAGCTTTATGCAGTTATATTCTAAAATTCAATCAGAATTTGTGCTAATAATGCCTCAGTGCACCCTGTAATAGAGTCAGGCCTCAGTTCTATTTATCCAATAAAAAGGCTAAAAACCAAAATATAAGTTACCGGATACAATGACTGACAGATCCTAAGAAAGTGTCATAATGATAATTATCAAAATACAATTGGAAATGCTTCCATCATGCTTTGCACTTTATTTTTTAAAAGGAGATTTTAAAACTTAAAGTTCATCTTTATCAACATAATCGCTATTAGAAAACACTCAAAAAGAAGAAAGTCAGGAAGAATACATGCCTGGGATATTTCTCTAGAAATTAATCTTCTAGAACAGGAAGTCAAAAGTTACTTTCTCTAAGCTAATGTACTAGGAATAAAATTTAAGAGTGAAATGGACTGTCCTTGCCAGGAGAACTGGACACTTGTTTTCAAACCCACCACTCTTTGCAGCGCTTCCCTGGCCTTGCAGTCACCTCTGTCTAACCCTCCTCCCACCCAACAATAGAAAACACCACCACTCCAACCACCGAGGAAGAAAGTAGGTCACCCTTTAGAGCTTTGAACTCTGTTTTACAACATAATGATTGCTAGAATTAATAACCCAGCTGACCTAACAAAACTCATCTTAAATATACTTGATTTATTTTTACCTGGAAAACATCTGTTTCTAAAATTCTTGTTCCGAACACCATGATTCCATTGGTATCGACTATTGATCTCTCACTTCTATCGAGGGGTTTTGTGATTTTCTTCTTACAATCAACAATCATTGTCACAGTTTTCTTCTCCACGCTGATCGCGACCCGATGCCACCTGTAAAAATGGAACAATGCTTTCGTAAGCTTCAAAGGCTCTAGCCGCCAACTCAACGGACTCATTAGAACGTGAGCTTCAAATGTCAACAGTACGCTGAAATGGCACAAAAACAGAGCCACACTATGCCTCAGTGGTTTAGCCTAGCTTACCCAGGACAGCACCACACACTCATACGGACACAGGTTCCTAAGATACAGCGATGGATTAGGCACCTGTGCTGTTAAGGACACACCCATCCTCTGTTTCACTTTGTGTTTTCTGATGAGTGTATTTGACAGAGATTGAGATAGATTTGGGGTTCTCTGTGCATAAACACTTTCTTCCAAACTGGAATTCCACAAGAAAAACTGCTCTGGTGATCCCCTGAGAGTGACCGTGAAAGGGTCTGTCTCTTGACTGAATGACTGCTCCATCTGGAGCAGCTGAATGTTCTAATTGTAAAACACAATGTGCTACTCTGTCCTGATCTCCATTTATTTCAAGTGTTTTCATGTTCTTTTTCCACTTTAATTTCAAGACAGTTATAGATCACCACCGTGGGCAGGATCCAAAACTGAGACACAATATCTCTCCTTCTTTCCAGGGCTGGCAAGAAGAAGGAACACTGAAAGAAAGCAGAGTCAGCGCATGTGTGGAGTGGGAGGCTCAATTCAGTCTGCAGCTACTGCCCCAGCTAATTCAAGGCGGTGATGACAGGCTTAGCAGAGGGAATGTGGCCAGCCCTTGGAAGCATGCATGCTCTCCCTGCATCCTAGAAAGGGTTTTATTAACAATGTCTGGTGCTAACAGAAACCACTAAGTGAAATTCACTTGGATTCTTTAAGCCACTGTGGTTTATATTTTCTTCCAAACGAAAAGTGCTAGATTAATATTCCAGAAGTGTCTAGGAGTAGCCCCATAAAATAAAATACCCAGAAACTTGCATGAGTGTTCCCAAATGTCTGTTTCATGATATTTGGCATGGCTACTGGTGACGACCAAGTACATTTCCATACATACTTTGTCTTTGGTATTTCCACCAGCACATTCAACTAGTGAAGGTTTGAGTAGGGCAAAGAATTATACAAGGAGCCTTGGAGCAACTTCATACACCGAGAGTAAAATTGACACATACTTTATGCCAAGAAGCCGGCGTGCTAACTTAAACCATTCCTAGTCTTGAGGGATGGTCTTTTCATTAGCAGAAAATAAAAATAATTTTAATTGCTAAAACCTCATCGGAACTCTAAACTCAATTGTTTTTTAATTATTTTAAGCTGTGCTGAGATGATAAAAATCATAGAATTAGATATAACATAATAATAATTTAGATAGTACTAGGTTAACTCAGTTTAGAATCCTTCATTCTCCTTTTCTCTTATGATGTCTGTACCATCAATAAAACATCACGAATTTTTATGATGAAACAAAACCTGGTGATTCTCGACTTAGTAGAAAACATCACCTCTCTAGCTTATAATGCTAACTGTCTGTGCTTTCATGCCTTTGTGACCCTAGCAACCATCAAAACATGAATGAAGAAGTTGGGAAGAGTTTAGTCCAGAAGATAACTGTTGCATAACTAAGATGTGCGGCCAGTCCCCAGCACCCATAAGAACAGAGGACATAGCAGGATTCACTTCTAATGTCAGTGCTAGGAATGAAGAGACAGATCGCTCTAGAACAGTGTGAGACCCTGTCACACACACAAAAAAAGGTGGATAGTTCCTGAGGACCAACACCCATAAAATTGTCCTGGGTGTCCTATGGCCTCCAAATGCACATGCCTTCAAGTGTTCAGGTGCACTCCCATTGCCACACACACATGAACCCTCCAGTATATCAATATGCACAAAGATTCATATATATATTCTCTCTCTCTCTCTCTCTCTCTCTCTCTCTCTCTCTCTCTCTCTGACAAGCACATCACACACATACACACACACACACAAACATATGAATAAATAAAATTAAATTACATGAAAAACAATCAATTTAAATCTCTGTGTTGAAGACACCCAGCAAATATTCACAGAGCTGTTCATCTCTTTTCTCTGTCTCATAGAAGCCTCCTGGTACTCTCTCACCTCCACCTCCTGTAAAGTTTGCTTTCTGATATCCTGTAGCTGATCACATGTCTCCTTCTGCTCCATGCAAATACTCTATAGGGGCACGCTTCCCTCCACATTGTCATGCAAACAGGTGCTTACTTCTGTACTTTCTTTAGAACAACCTCTTCATAACAGACTGCCAAGTATGTTGATGCAGTTTTATTCATAGAACTACCAGTACTTTGCATTTAAGCTTATGTTTGTTTGGTCTACAAAACACTAAAAATATTCAAATAAACAGGAGTGGAGGGACAATGTTCATGGCTGCAAAACCCCGACTCTGATAACTGCCAGCAAAGTAGTAGATTGCATAGAAATACTATGGAATGAGTGCTCAGTTGTGATGAAATCCATGATTGTTCTTAACAAACTAAAGTGTATTTTAATACCAATGATTTTTTGCATTCCAATTGTCATTGTGTCATTTGATCTTAACAAATCTGTCATATTTTAATAGTCTCAAGGAAGGACAATAGAACTTGTGCACAGCAAACATCTGCTAATAAATCCATGAATTAAAAATGAATGATGGCTCAGAGACCTAAACCAAACAGGACTAACAAAAAAAAAAAAGTCAATGAAATGATTCCTAATGATATTCTGCCATTCTCATGTGATCTGTGCCTAGCAGCCCAATCATCACAGAGGCTTCCTCCAGCAGCAGATGGGAACAGATACAGTGATTCACAGCCAAACACTAGGGGAGCTAGGGAAACTCCACATAAGAAGGGGAGGAAGGATTGTAGGATCCAGAGGGATCAAGGACACCAGGATAACATGGCCCACAGAATGAACTAAGCAGAGCTCATAGGGGCTCAGACAGACTGAGCTGCAACCACGGAGCAGGCATGGGTCTGCAACAGTCCTCTGCATGTGGTTCTTTAGCCTAGGGGTTTTGTTAGATTCCTAACAATGGGAGTAGGGGTATCTCTGACTCTTTTGCCTGCTCCTGGGACCTATTTCCTCCTACTAGGTTGCCAAGCCCAGCCTTGATGTGAGGGTATATACCTAGTCTCATTGCATCTTGTTATGTTGAATTCATTTGATACCACTTTGGGGGGGTGCTGCTCTTTTCTGAATGGAAACTGAGGAGCAGTGATTCTGGGGGAGAGGGGATATAGAAGGGGGATGGAGGGGAGCCTGCAGTTGGGAAGTATTATATGAGAGAAGGATAAATAAATGAAAGAAAACTAAAAGAAAAGTGAATGAATATTGCTACCTATTGATTTATTGGATATATTATCAAATAGTACTTTACCACTTCTTATCTATTTGATAATCACTCAAAATTATTTACCGAGCTTTTCCTATTGTTATATTTTGATATTTGTTCAAACTTAAAACTACTATCAAATTGGATCGAGGTTACAATAAGATATTTTTCCAGTTAAAAAGACAGCATAGAGTAAAAATATTTCAGTATATAAAAAAAATCTTCTATACAGCTAACCATGCATGACCATCCCCAGTTGATAAATCTACAACATAATTCCTATACCTAAGACTTAGCAAACATCACGGAAGAGTGGGCAGAAAGATTATAAGAGCCAGACCCAGGACATTTGCTATAAGATAAGAGTCTCATACATATTAGAAGGAATTGTACACCTGAAATCTTAACAATACAGTCACCTAAATAAGACCTGAACAGTGGCAATACCAGTTGACATGCCAATGTGCACAGGAGAATTCTCAGAAGGTGCAAGCCCTAGAGGAAGAGCTACAGGTGATTAATAGCTGCTAAGATAGCGAGGATCAGTCTTATTTAGAACTAGCCTCATGAGATGTGTTCTTTCTTTCTACTATGTCATTCCCAGGGATTGAACCAAGTGCACAGGCTTGGCTGCAAGTGCCTTTATCCACAGAACCATCAGAACCATTGTTCTCAGATCCCTGTAGGAAAGAGGTCTTCCCTCATCTCAATTCTTAAAATCACACCACAATTTGATTTCCTTTTGTCAACACTGCCCTGCTTTTCTCTCTCAACCACACAGGTTTTCTTTTTTCCTACTGATTTTTTTTTCAGACTTTACCTGCCCAGACTTTGAAGTGGACTACACCAATGTTGGGGATTAATATGGTGGTCTTTTGGGGTGTTTTCCATCAATGGCCACTAGAAAACACAGTTCATACAGACTGTTGAATGATTAATGAAATTTTTCAGCACAGCTAACACTCTCTCAAGGTGTGACTTACTTCCCATCGGCGATGTTAACTGTTGAGAAGAGGGGATAATTTTCGGGACTGGGTTTTCCAGTGTGGTCTTCAAATAGAAAAACAGGTGATCTCCCAACCTCAACACCAAGTTGCTGAATACCATGTTCATTATATATTGATAAAAGGAAAGACTGAGTTCCTTTTTTGGGTTTTATTGTAAATAGTATTGAAAAATCTTCGGGAAAAATTCCACCTGAAAAGACAAAATTGAGTTAGAAAGTCCAGATTTCCAAATTGTTCCTAGCTCACAATTTTACCTGAACATTTTATATGGCCCTGATAACTAAATTCAAATAAGATTTTATAATTTAATTTAATTTTACATATCAGCCATGGATTCCCCTGTCCTCCCTCCTCCCATCCCCTCCCCTGCCCTCCCCCAACCCACCCCCCATTCCCATCTCAAATAGGAAACAGTTAACAAATAGTGTAGTTAGAGAGGTGATCAAATGAGTATCAAGTTTTCTCTTCATATTCATCCAAGTTAAGCCTCAAGGCCATTTATGTAAAGAATAAAGATTATGAGAAACTGATCCCATAGTCAGAAAGCAAGATCATACTATCAGTGCAATTTCAAACATAGCAGACACTCATTTAAAATTTTTAATTATCGTCTGGCAGTGGTGGCGCACGCCTTTAATCCCAGCACTCGGGAGGCAGAGCCAGGCGGATCTCTGTGAGTTCGAGGCCAGCTTGGTCTCCAAAGCGAGTTCCAGGAAAGGCGCAAAGCTACAGAAAGAAACCCTATCTCGAAAAAAAAAAAATTTAATTATCATTTTAGCTGTATTTTTAAATTATGTGCATGTGAGCAGAGAGAGAATGTGCATGCGAATGCAGAAGACTGTGAACTCTAAAGAGTGTGCACTCTTAGCTACTTAGTCGCTCTCCAGTCCCTAATTTTATTATTTTAATTATGTGCATCTGTATGTGGATCCATGACAGCAGGTGTCCAAGGAAGCAAGACACATCAGATTATCTGGAACTGGAGTTTCATTCAGTCACCTGGCAAGGGTGTTGGAACCAAAGTCCACTCCTCTGCAAGAACAGTAAGGGCTCTAAATAGCAGAGGAATCTCTCTAGCCCCCACAAATAATTCTCAAACATGTATTTAACCATTTCAGCTGACACAAGCTTTGTATTTCTGAGCTTTGTCCACACTGTTCCCACACATGCTCTTTGTGAAAAGGCACTGTAGTAAGGTAATACAAAAGCACTGCTTTCATCGTGTATGTGAACACTTAAGGAGATTTTTGATCACACAGTTCAGTTTCATTATTGAAAATCATGCCACTGAAAACCAGAACTATTAGGTATGAAGGCTCACTGTCACTTGTTTTTTCTCTTTCCATGATCTTATCTCAAGTACCTAGCCTGCTACCTGACTTTCACAGCTGCTTACAACACATTCGCTAAATGTGGCAGTTTGAGGAGTGCCTTAAATATAACATCTCTCTTATACTTGGACTCTGTATTATTAAGGAAACATTACATACTAATTGGAAAGTTTTATTTATCAAAGTAACAATATATATGATACATAACCACTATTCATATATGTTATATATACTGTTATATATAATACATAATATTATATATTACAACATCATTTAGGAGAAATTTATTACTTCATTAAAATATTATCCATTCACAAAACAGGTGTTTTTGTTATGGACTATATCAAGAGCTTTCATATTAAATCTATTTATTCTTAATTCAATTACGGGTTGTAGTGCAAAGTGATTTTTTTTAAAGGCATTGTGAATATCACCGCTATAGGTTCAAATTCCACAAATGATGGAGTTATGCAGTTCCATTTCTGCTCATGATTAGAAAATGCTTATTTGTAAAGATACTATGTTTGCATCTCATCAAAGAACGATTAATTATAGCAAAAATGTTTTTTCCAGATATACTCGAATGATTGAGGCTGGTTCAGTAATGTCATTCAAAAAGGAACTTTATGAATCTGCTAAGAATAGCGGTAAAAAAAAAAAAGATGTTTCCTGAGTGGGAAACCTTTTAAATGTATTCAAAAGGGAACACTGACAGGTAGTATGGATGCATAGTTTTTTACTGCACATATATGCACAAACTAGGTAAGTGGTAACTAATACAGTATCTCAGTTAAAATGTTGGAGTATCAGGCTGGTGAGATGGCTTTAATAGGTAAGGGACTTGCTGCCAAGCCTGACAACCTGAGTTCTATACCCAGAACCACAAGGTGGAAAAAGAGAACCAACACTTGCAAATTGTCCTCTGTCACACACACACACACACACACACACACACACACACACACACACACATACACACACACACACACACTGTCATACATATGAATATAGACATGCACGTAAATAAAAATAAATAAAATATCATTAAACAGAGTCCTGGGTCTTGTTCGATCCATTGGATACAAGATACTCTTGTCATATGCTCTTAGCATATTACATAATGTCCCTTAGCTGAACTAATGATGTAGACTGAACCCTAGAACTACTGTAGAAATTAAGTAGCATGCCACCGAAGTCAATTAATGTTGACTAACTGATTCTCATATTTTTTAAGTTAATACTAAACAAAATTCAACAATAAAAAGTGTTTGTTTTCAATTACTCAAGCCATCATAAAAATCTTTCAACCTACTTGTCAAATCATTATTTTTAATCAGCTGAAATGTATTATGCATGTGCATATATATACACATATATATAGTTCATCTGGAATTTTTACTTGTTATGATGATTGAATCCAGGATCTCATACAAACTCTTCAAGGTCTTTACCTCTAAAGTACATCTATGTCTTCTAACTTGATTTAAATGTAACAGGAAATTTCAATTTTATTTGGTTTTAATTTCATAATTTTATAAAAATCACTAGGAGACAAATAATCATACAAGATATAAAAGCTATAAAGCATATAACTTAACAACATGCTTTATAATTGCTATGCTATTGAGATATATGGTTAGGTAATTCACTCTATTATTGAAAAAGGTCCAAGGTAAACAAATTTTCCATGATCTTATAGTGGAAGAAAAGGACTTTAAAACATTATGATCTGGGAGAAAATACTTTGTACAATTTAACAAAAAAGTGAACAAAAGTCTATATAGAGACATTTAGAAAAGGTGAGACATCAGAAAAAATTGTACTCATATAAGAGTAAGGGGATTGTGTGAAAATTTTAAAAGTCACTGAGTTTGTGCAGTGAAAGTTCTGAAAACTTAGCTTGTTAATACAGTACTAATACTACACTACATTAAATACGTGAAACAGCACTCATCAAGGCATAGCGTACACATCAAATGTGAAGTTTAACAGCTTTAAAAAAAATCCATATTTTGAAATACAAACACAGATTTAAGACATGTCAAATGACTATTAGTAAAAGTGCCCAGAGTCTAAAATTTGATATTTATACTTATTTAGAAGAATATCTGTCTATAATAACCATCATGATTATCACAGATTCAGCCACAACTCTTAAAATGGGTTTTTAATATAAACAGATGTTGCTTTCATTAATAAACATATAAAATAGCATAATAATAATGATTTTAAGAGTTTAAATTTTGATCAATATTTTTCTAAGCAGAATATATCTTTCAAAAATATTTTTATGCTTTAATAGTGATGATAATTCAATAATATTCTGTATGCTATAACTACAATGATATTCAAATACATCATATGTTTTAGTCCAGTGCCTTAGATGGTCGGGCATTGTTATCTAACTAAAATGTTGAATCTATCCATCTCCTCATCTATAACTTGAGCTTAAGTATCCTCTTCCTTTGATGGTTATGAAGATGTAAGTCAATATACAGTTTTTTGCAGGATATTTATATCAGTATTCAAAAGGTGGTAATGAGAATTTGAAAACAACAGCTTTATTTAATTTGAAGTGCACATTTTCAGATCTTCCGATTTAAAGTCTCATCCTGGAGCTTTTGTGTCAATATATTGCTTTTGTTCACTAAAACTTAATGAAAATCGGAAAATATAATGAAAATTTTAATGAGTGCCCATGATAAATGTGTTTTCAAAATACCTTAGAACAGGCTATGGTGGTTCCTCAGGAAGCTAAGACTGAAAAGTTCACTAGTTTGAAGGCAGGCTTAAACTGCAGAGTGAGGCCCTGTCTGGCCCACTTGAAAGAAAGAAAGAAAGAGAGAGAGAGAGAGAGAGAGAGAGAGAGAGAGAGAGAGAGAGAGAGAGAAAGGAAGGAAGGAAGGAAGGAAGGAAGGAAGGAAGGAAGGAAGGAAGGAAGGAAGGAAGGAAGGAAGAAGGGAGGGAAGGAGGGAGGGAGGGAGGGAGGGAAAGGAAAGGAGAGAGGAAGGAAGGAAAGAAAGAAGGAAGGAAAGGAGAGAGGAAGGAAGGAAGAGAGGGAGGAGAAAGAGAAAATCCAACAAAGAAGCAGGGAAAGAAACAAACAAAGGAAGGGAGGAAGAGGATAAGGAGTATAATGACCTTCCAAGGAAATAATATTTTATTTATAATATTTAATTCCTTTATCATATTTTTTGACTGATTTAAAAATTGATGTATAATGTCAGCTCTTCAGATAGTGAAAAAATGGACAAACCAGAGAATTTAAATGTTAACATTTTGGGAAGATCCTAAAGCAACAAAATGAAATCTGATCAAATATGAAATATTGATCTTGTATCATGATAATTAAATATAATTGGTCAAGTTAAATAACATCTGTGAAACTCAGTTCACATTTAAATAGGAACAAGGACACCAAGTTGAAGGCTAACTAACTGGCATATATAAACTTCAAGAACGTGTAATGGGCTGCCTGCTTAGATAATGTGATATCAGGAATTCTCATTTCTGCACTCAGTGATCTTTTCCTATAATTAACACTACTGGATCAAACAGTCTCTCAAAGAACAAGTAAAAGATTTTCCCAGAACTTTATCAGTTATCACATGAAAATCTCCCAGGTAAAGTCTTATAAAAATCTCTAATCCCTGAATTCTGGGTATTTGTGAGAAGTGACTAGTTGTATGTCTGAATTACTTACTATTTTACGGCTGTGAAGAGATACCATGACCATGGCAACTTATAATAGAAAGCAGTTAATTGCTTAATTTCAGAGAGCTAGTCCATGATCATTATGGTGGGTAACATGGCAGCAGGAAGGCACGGCACTGGAGCAGTAGCTGAGAGCTTGCATCTGACCCACAAGTTGGCAGTAGAGGGAGTGAAACTAGGCCTGTTGTAGGCTTCTGAAACCTCAAAGCACACCCCCAGGGACACACCTCCTCTAACAAGGCCCCACCTCCTAACCCATCTTAACCAGTTCCACTAACTAGGAACAACCATTCAAATGAATCAATCTATGGAGGCTATTCATAGTCAAACTACCACCACTATGGTGATATTTTATTTGTATTAAAATGTTATTTGTATGTTAATAAATAAAGTTGCCCGGGGTCAGAGCTATTAGCAAGCCATAGGAAAGCAGAGCAGTGGTGGTGTACGCTTGTATTCCCAGCACTTGGTAGGCAGAGTTAGGTAAGTCTCTGTGTGTTCAGGGATACAGCCAGTATTGGATACACATGGCTTTAATCTCAATACCAATCATAGAAAACCTAGAGGTCTATACAGACAGGCCGTGATGAGGTGGTCATGTGGTTGGGTTTACAACCAATGAGAAGGCAGAATAGAAACTCTATATAAAGACTTTAACACAGAAAGTAGCTCTGGTTCAGAGAGGTAGGACCATCACAGGAGGAAGGGTGAGGTTTTAGCTCTTAGCTTGACCACTTGGCTTTCTTCTTTGCATTGGTTCTGTGTTTCTTATTTAAAAAAATGGTTGGTTACATCTACACACCACACTGTATTAAACTTGTCATAAGAATAATGTGCAAAAAACAATCACAAAGAACATCTACCAAAAAAAAATGTTTCTTTGAAAGGAAATAGTTACAGTAATGTTAGGACAAAGAGTACTGTTTGTCTTAATTTATATGACTGTTAAATTAACCTAATCAATCACTAATGGTAAAGGTTTCTGTCAGCCTCCATCCATGAATATAGGATGGTCATAAAATACTGCCTTCCCAGAATTATTATGTATTGCAGACATGATGAATTATTAAATTCCTAAAAATAAGCATATTTCTGTTACCAGGCTAAGTTAGTACCTGGAAGTTAGTTGTTTTCAATATGTTACTGGTGATTACAATTTCTTTGCTTTTTGCTATATGAAAAATTATATTCTACGCCATAACTGGATATTATGTAGCATAATAGAAAGACTAATAAGCTAAGAGAGAGTAGAGGTTGCAAATAAAAACAACAATAATGGCAACAGGAGCAGAGATAAAGTGAACCTACCTGGAAATAGCTGTTTCGTTGGGGCGCTGATTTGTGCTTCGTCCGTAACTCTATAAGCAATATCTGAATCTCTAGAATTCTTCCTGTTTGTACAAAATCCTGTTGTTTTAGATATTCCCACTGGAGAATTGTGAAAATCTAGTGCTTTTAGTATATCAACTGGAGCAGCTGAAAAAGAGAGGAAAAGTTTAAAAAAATAATTGAATAGTTAAATATAAAAATACTTTTAGTTTCAGTATTTAATTATTAAATTTGTTATTGGACAATTCTATACTTACAATGCATTCTGATTGTTCTCTCCCCCTACCTTCTCTTATCCCTAATTCTGCCAATCCTTCTTCATCCCTACCAGTCCCTTTCTCGGTTTTTGTGACCTATTTAGTTTAACCAGGGCCACCTGTATGACCATTGGATTGAACTATCCTCTGGATCTAGATAAATCATTGATGGCTGTACAACTGAAGTCAATGATACTTTCTCCTATTCCTGAACCTTATTGGTATCAAATGCTCCCTAACATGCATCTTCACTCTGTACTTTTATGAAATTCCTTATTCTAGGAATTTTAGAAAACTAATGAACTATCTCAAAACAAAGAAGTAGCATATAACTCCAAGACTCCAATAGCTACATGTCTAAAGAATTCAAAGTGTGTTCCCTATGGCATTACTCATTATAGCAATAGTCTGATACAAAGTGAGTCCCCTATAAGATGTAAATGAATGAACAACATGTGATACATACATATGATAGAATTCTATTCAGTCATTAAAATTAGTGAACTCCTGAGAGAGGAAATTATCTGACCAGCTGTGTGGGATGTTGAATATGCTGACCCCATCACAGCATGAAAGAACTTCAAAACACTGAAGGTTCACTACACGGAATAAATCACAAAGACAAAGATAAAGACAAATTTAATTGCTTTGGACTTTCAAAATCCCTGGTTCAAAACAATGCATTTAATCCACTTTGTCAATACATGAATCAAGTGGAGTAGTGCTTGTTTGCAAATGAATATTAAAGCCCATAATGTCAACATTCTTATGATGTATTGGCTTTTGTCTGTATTCAAAAACAAACAAAAATGTTCCAATTAGTCCATGTGCTGGCTGATTTGTCATTCAGCATGACTGAGATATAGCCCCTAAAATATTTAGATTCTAATGGAGTCAGTCGTAAAATGTTTCAGTAAGTAGTTAAGAAGTCATGTCTACTTTTAGGAGTGTACAAAAACTGTTATGTTGTTCATTTATGACTGAAAGTTCTAGCTAATATAAAACACTGCAATAGTGAGCTGTTACCAGGCACTACTGCCACACTGTGCCTCTTAGAATGTTGTTTATGCAAGGACTTACTTGGTCAGAGAGAAATTGGGATTGATTCTAGAATCAGGGAGCTAGCCTCATCACATCTCAAAGGACAGCCTAACCAGCATCTGGCTCTTCAAGAATTATCATTTCAGTAAACATTTACTTACTATAGCACTCAACTTGTCACAGAATGTATGAATGAGTAACTGAATGAGAGTTGTGAAATGTGTGTGCATGATCATTCCCTTAGTTTATTAACTCATGGAGGCCTGACTTCTACATCGGCAAACACACACAGGTGGAGCTTTACAGACCCTGCCTTGTATGGTGCCATGAATATAGTTTCCTCTAACAACAAATTTGTGTGCAACTATAGCATGTAGCTGACAAATAAAAATCCACATACTATTCAATATAGCAAATAGTGTTTGTAACTATTGGAAGGAAAAATATCTTTGTGGAAATAAGAGAGGCTGAAGGGAGCAAATACAGTAAGTAGCCTTTTAGGTCAGTCTTTGAATATTTGTTTCAAAATCTGAGTAGTATAGTCTAGCTGGTTTTTTTGTTTTGCTTTGTTTTGTTTTTGTTTTTGTTTTGTTGTTGTTGTTGTTTTTCATAACAGGGTTTCTCTGTGTAGTTTTGGTACCTGTCCTGGATTTTGCTCTGTAGACCAGACTAGCCTCGAACTCACAGAGATCTGCCTGGCTCTGCCTCCCCAGTGCTGGGATTAAAGATGTGCCTCACCATTACCCTGCCTAAGAGCTGTTTTTCAGCAATTCTTGTTGTCTTATTCTCTCATGTGATAAAACTAAGAAAATAATATTTATACTAAGAACCATGTCCAAAGACCCTAATACAACCCTTGTGACCAGGCTACTTCTTTAAAGGCTCAAACCTTCACAAATTACATGTCCTTTCCTGCTATGCAGAGAGGAAGAACTGAGCATCAAAGACTAAGTTGAGGTATTCTCAGGGCCTGGGTAAATCTCAAGCCTCCTTTTTCCACCCCCAATTTTGCTGTAATAACCCACAGACGAAAACTACAAAAGAAAACTTAAAACGTTCTTAAAATAGTCTGAAATTATCATAAGCCAGCTAATTGAATCCTGATGTTGATATTTACTTTCAGTTAAACTCAATTTACCTTTCAGGATATAAAGGTAAATTATATTACTCTGAAAGAGAAGGTGCCTGAAAACACAGCATATTATCTGCTTATTTTATTTTATCTTCTCGCTCGAAGTTGAGCAAGACTTCAGAGCAGGCATGAACAGAGCCTAGAAGGCTGTAATCCCATGATAACTGGGCATCAATAAACAATGCACAGGATGGAGCCCCACTTCCCTTTCTTCACAGTGACTTCTTACACAGGATATCTACAAGCACATAGACACTTATCCCTTTCCAATTTGAAATGAGTGTGGTAAGAGCACCCTCCCATTGCCAGATTCACTGTAGAGGTACTACCATTAATTTCTGAAAAATTTCTCTGCAGGGACAGGATGCAATAGCACCATTCAGGCCCTAATTCACATTTTATTTTCTAAAAAGGTATCCCAATCTTTTTTTATAAAGATAAAATTCAGCTAAAAATGTCTGTTGTCTTCTTCTCTTTCTTTCTACTGAACTGAACGATAATTTAAATCATTTTGAAATGCTATCTTGTTTCTTGATCTTGTCATCCTGACAGCCACAGTATGTACTAAACTCTCATAACACAGGTTCTGTTGCTTTACACATATATGTGCAGGTATGTGCAAAAACGATGTTCTTCTACCTTTCTTAATTCCAACTGTTTAAAGATTAAAAGCAATCACTTCTTATGGATACTTCAGTGTATCTGAAAAAAAACGTAATTTCCAATATCCAAAGCTACTCTTAGTCCTAGCATTTTATTTCTATTTCATACCACCATCATTAAGCATTTTCTGGCATATCTAATTCAGTACAGTATTATATTCAGCAATTTTGCCCTGTCTTCTAGTGAATACTGTTGGTTTATCAAACAGGGACACAGGATACAAGAGCTCAATCATTACTCCAGAAGCCATTTAAAGGGTGTCCATGCTTTCCCCATCCATCTGCATTCCACTGCTGACTGAGCCTCCTAAATTCCATGGTTCAAGCAACTGGACTGCTTGAATTCCTTCCGTGAACCCCACTGACTTCCAGATGGCATCCACATTCCACATTCCTTGCAGAGAAAATCTTGATGATCTGGTCATACCCAATTTTCCTCCTAGTTCCTACCCCCACCCCCACCCCAGTGCCTGTCTATTCTGATGTTTCACTGACCCAGAAATACCACCACAGTCAGTGCTGTAGAAATACTAGTTGAGACTTTGTAGAAAACATCACCAAATACTTTTGTCTATTTGGGGGCTTTATATATCCTTACCTGCTATCTGAAACAATTAACAGCACTTTGCCTGAGTAGGAAGTAGGAGAAAACCAAGAAGGTAACTGAACAGCATTTATCTCTCTCCTGAACCTTAGTCTAGTGTGCTTATCCTAGCCTTGCACCATTAGCACTTACTTGCCTATCCTTTGATTTACATTCCCTAATTAGAAGATAATAAATGTATACACAGAGATAAGCACCACACTCACATACTCACATATACCTGAGTCTGTATGCAACACATAAAGACACACACACACACACACACACACACACACACACACACACACACACACACACAGACTATATAAAATGCTGAGCAAATGAACAAAATAACAGTGAAACTTTATGGAAACAACTTTCTCTAAATGCCACATAACTTCTTATCAAGAAACAAGACTTCACCGGGCGGTGGTGGCACACGTCTTTAATCCCAGCACTCGGGAGGCAGAGCCAGGCAGATCTCTGTGAGTTCAAAGCCAGCCTGGTCTATAGAGTGAGATCCAGGACAGGCACCAAAACAACACAGAGAAACTCTGTCTTGAAACAAACAAACAAAAAAGAAGGAAGGAAGGAAGGAAGGAAGGAAGGAAGGAAGGAAGGAAGGAAGGAGGGAAGGAAGGAGGGAAGAAAGAAAGAAAGAAAGAAAGAAAGAAAGAAAGAAAGAAAGAAAGAAAGAAAGAAAGAAAGAGAGAGAGAAAGAAACAACAAGACTTGTAAAGGCCTTAATGGACTTTCTGTGTTCCCCTAGCCTCTTGGACATCCCCATCAATTCAGCAGGTTGGTCCTAAGTTTTTGATCCTGTCTTTCTGTTACCTGCAGCGTCCCTATGGAACACCTATCTAACATCTTTCAATATTTTGATTGTGCTGTTCTATTTCCTCCATAAGCTTCCCCTATGCTGCTTAAGCCTGTATGATATATAATTGGAAATTCTAACTGCTTCTGAGTTCTACCTCTGCCATTTCCTGTCTGTGTGGTGTGAATAAGGGAAATATATCACTCTCTCTGTGCCACAGTTTCAAAACCTGTAAAATGGCAATAACCAAAATCTTGACCTCCAAGACCTTTTTGCCAACTGGATTTGTTACCACGACTTGGAGAACTGGCTTGGAATAGTGTTCTAATGCAGTAACACTGCCTTCCTACATGGACTTTTATATGGTACCTGATATAAATATGATTTTACAATTTAAATGGTAGAAGACTTTGTTAAACTTGAGAACTGTATACAATTAAAATATAGTATCCACCTTTGAAGTCTTGGAAACAGTTACACTCATTCATTTAGCTGTTACCCACAGCTCTTTTTACACATTAAAGCCAGTTCTCCTTGGCTTCAACAAAGTCTGTACAGCTCATAAAAATCAAAGTATCTGTCATTTCTTGATTTGTTTTCTTCTCTCTCTCTCTCTCTCTCTCTCTCTCTCTCTCTCTCTCTCTCTCTCTCTCTC